GAAGCCATGACGTAAAACTCAAGCTCCTGTCTGGGTCAGGTAAACAAAGCAGGTTGAGATGGAAGTACACGAAGACTACATTCTGTGTTTTCAACAATTCCAGAGATCGAGGATTTAAAGCCGGAAAAAAGAGAATATTTGGTGAATTTTATCAAGGGGAAAGACGTTATTGCCCTTCTTCCTACAGGATTTGGTGCATTACATACGTCACGACCAAATAGCAGCAATTGGTTAAGTAAAAAAGTACCCGTCTACCGTCGAGCGAAGGAATCCTAATGCTGCGAGGTCAGACGGTTTCTACGAAGTTCAACCGGCTGATGACTCAAGCTAACAATGTAATGCATACTATTTAAAATCAAACCTTATCTATGATTTCTTTAACTCGCAGATAGAGGACACATACAAGTTTGTGTCATTCTCAGTATATGGACAGGCTTCATGTGAAAGCTCAGAATCTCCAGAATTCCCTCACTGAGCTGCAGAGGATTCATAGTTAAATGCAGGTGCTGGGGTTTAGGTAGTGACCATTCAGATTTGAGAGAAGTTTAAACCAACTGGATCTCAGCATTGAAACTGGCAACGCAAATGAGAGACTCGTGTGAAGTCTGCTGATTGGATAATCGTCGTGAGAACCAAAACATAAACATTTCACATAAACAACAAGGCCATCGTGCCCAATGTTTTTGTAATTTAAAATAAATCAGCATTAGAAGTGTTACCAGTGAGTTCTATTTTAGATTTGCATGTCTACATCATATCTGGGAACACAATTAACGCATATAATATTAAAAAATCAAAAGTTTACATTTGATTAAAACTTAAAAGGTGCTCTATGTAAGTTTGGGTTGTGTGAACCATCATCTTATTTCTATGGATATGTCATTGCTCTGCGTGAAAGTTCCACAGTATTACATTTATTAAGTTATAGATGGTTTAATAACTCAAAAATACTTAAAAAAAAAAAACAAAAAAACAGGCATTGTGACTGAGGGGGGCGCCTCTCCACAGATCTTACCTGTAATTTGGTCTGGTTTGGTCTCCATAAAGATAGAAAGGTTTAATTCTATACTATGAAACATTCCAGACAAAGTAATAACATCTCCATGAGAAAGCGTTTGACGGACCCTCCACCAGAGAAGTTACACAATGCACCCTTAAAGAAAAACAAGCAAAACTTTTTTTGTTGTTGTTTTTTGGTCAATTTGCTCTCTTAGCATACAAGCTTTCATCTGGAAATAACACAATTATCCAATCTGCACTGAAAGAAGTTTTGTGCTTGTGTTTTTGTGGTGGATTTTGTTCAGAAAGTACATTGTAAACAAGTCTATTTGAGAGAAGACTGAAAAATCAACCAATAAACTAATACAAGATACAAGCTTCATAAAGTCTTTCCATAAAAAGACTGGATATTTTGTTGTTTATAGTGGGCATTTTATTATCTACTATACTTGACATCATGCCGGGGGTTTATTTCTATGTATTTCTATGACAGAATGTTTATCAGTTACCATGGTGACACAATGCACACATTAGCAATAACTACCAAAAGTGTTTAGGATTGCTATGTTTACATGAGAGCCTTAATTCCGAATAAAAATAATTTAATTCCGCTTTAAAAAGACCATGTAAACACTTGATTATTTGGATGATTAAATGATTATTTGGAATTAAACTTAATTCCAAAGTAAATGGATGGTTTATTCTGATTTTAAAGCCGAATGAATTTATTCCTCAATTATGTAAATGTTTATTCTTCTTAACAATAATTCCAGTTGTTCAGTGCATGTTCATTGGGTCACCCTTCTGACTTGAGCCGGACGATCCGGCTCCACCAGTCCTGACTTCGGACTTTCATCCACATCTCTTTAGATTTGTGAGCGGGATGCGGGAGTGGGCTGAGGTAGAGCAGCCGTTGACTCAGTTTGTCTTCTTCCTCCCTTCTTCAACACTCTTCCCTTCTCCTCCTCAACTGACAGACGTAAAGCCTGATGAGAGAATTCTCCAGCCGCTGCTTCATTACCATCAGAATGACGGTGGAAAAAGTTTGGATCATGTTTGTGTCCGTGGCGTGACAACAAACCGATGACAAAAAAGCCAGTAGCAGCTGAAGTGTGTGTTTTCTTCCAGTCGACGTAAATACGTTCATGTCCCTGTCCAATCAGAACTCTTCTCCACCCTCAAATGTTGAGCGGAATTAAATAAAGGCGATTTAACGTGTTTTCCATGTAAATTATTATTTCCATGTCAACTCAAAGTTTGGAATTAAAATATTCTCCTATTTAATTCAGAACAATTAATTCAGAATTTAAAAAAACATCATGTAAATGTGGCCAATGTCTGAAAATACAAATTGGAGTGTTCAAGATCCTGTTTAGGTGTTTGGATTACAGCAAAAAGATCAGAGGGACTTGGGCTTGTGACTGTCATTTTATGTGTGAGAGACTAGTTTAAGCACACAAATCAGCTCACCTGTTCTAGTTCCATCTAAATCAGCTCCTTCTGGTCAGATTGTGTTAAAACAAACTCAAATTAAAGTCTAATTTGAGTAACAGGGCTTCATACAAAGCAGTGCCGACAGTTAGCATCATACATTGTGCATCCCTAGAATAACCCAACCTCAGAGGCAGTCTTAAATTACAGTCGGTGTCCCACATCTGCCCACGATGTTTAAAGCAAACTCTGTGGTCGATTATTAGAGACATCTGACTGTGAGGGGTCAAAGGTTAAGTTTAGGAAATAGACAGTGACAGGCGTGTTCTGGGTGAGTGCAGAGGGGCATTCTGGGTATTTGTGTATGTCTGTGCTTTTGAGGGATTTGTCTCAGTGTGCTTAGACAGAGAGGCCACGTGGATGCTCATGATTTGTGTTGAAGGTCAAGTTCAGCTGAAGACAGGAGACAGAGCCCAGAGACAGAAACAGGGTCACCACACTGTCCCTCCGTCCTCCAGGCCAACAGCCATATATGATCATGAGCAGAGTGTGACAGAGAAGCTGGTGTGGGGCGGAGGGGCCACAGGCAAAGATGGGCATTCTGGATTCCATCACTCAAAATCAACTTTTTGAGCTGTATACCATATTATAACCATGTTCCTTCATCAAAAACATGTCTGAAGAGGTTTTAGATGTCATGCATGCATGTTAGTAATCTAACAATCTCTCCCAGGGCTTATTCAAACCCTCCTTACACTTAGCTCTAAGACACTGACCGATGCTCAGCCCAAAGGCCGAAATCACTCATGCTCTTGTATGGCAGTTTTCCAAAAATATACAAAAGCATGATTTAAAACAAAACTGATGCGACCTGATACAGAGCTTATGAACTCATCGCAGTGAATAATTAGAATGCTTGGTCTCGCAACACGTTATGAAAGTGAGGAATATGTTTGGACCACTGCAACAGTTAACCTTCACAGCAAGATGGATTCTCACGATATTTGTGAGTTCACAACTAGGGGTGTGAAAAAATATCAATATCGATATAATATCAATATATCGTATTGTTTAATGTCATGATCCAGTATCGATATTGTGGGCTGCCCTATCATTATATCACCAAGAGTATTTTTTGATATTTTACTAAATTATTTTGTTACAGCAATAAGGAAACTCATTCATGCAACACATTTGACATTTTCACTGTTTTGATGATTAAAATTTAAAAAAATGTTTTCATATGAACTTTGCACAAGAAGTGGTTTAACAAAGACTTTTTGTATCACAGCCATGATTATTTTTTATTTAACCGTATCAAATCATTTTGAAATATAACGAATCAAATCGAAAGTGCACTGTACGAGATATGTATAGTAACATGGCCATGTATCAAGGTATGTATCATATCGTGGCCTACGTATCGAGGTATGTATTGTAACGTGGCCTATGTATTGAGGTATGTATCGTATCGTGGGCTATGCATCAAGGTATGTATTGTATTGTGGCCTATGTTTCGAGGTATGTACTGTAATGTTGCCTATGTATTGAGGTATGTATTGTATCGTGGCCTATGTATCGAGGTATGTATCGTATCGTGGGTTATGTATTGAGGTATGTATCGTATTGTGGCCTATGTATTGAGGTATGTATTGTATTGGCAACTTCGTAATGATACCCAGCCCTATTCAATTCATGAGAATCCATCTCGCGAGAGCCATCCCAAAGTGACAAAGTGTAGAATCAATCAATCTGGTGCGAGCCAGGTACCAAACCAGTAAAACGAACTACTGTTTTTCATGTTTTTAAGATAATACATCATCTTTAAGGAAGCTGGAAGGTCCATCGTGCAGCCTCTATATTCTCATCTGTTCAGTTTAGACCCATAGAATACCTTCTCTTGAATTTATAATCTTAAATTACTTACTGATTTGACAAACAGTTACATCCACTGACAGAAACAAGTCCAGGTGTAGACTTGGTTTGCTCATGCTGTGGTCCTGGTTTAGTCCTGCTCTAGCCCAGGTTTAATTTTGGGCTTAGTCCTGGTTTAGTCACAATTATGATTAGAGCTGGGTATCATTAAGAAACTGCCGATATGATACATACCTCGATACATAGGCCACAACACGATATATATCTCGATACAGTGCATTTCAATTCGATACAATATATTTAAAATCAATTTGATACAGTTCATTAAAAATAAAGGTTAAATGATGGCTGTGATACTAAAAGTCTTTGTTAAACCACTTCTTGTGCAAAGTGAATATGAAACACAAACATTTTTATCATAAAAACAGTGAAAATGTCAAATGTGTTGAATAAACGAGTTTCCTTCCACTAAACAAACAACAAAACTGTAGCTGTAACAAAATAACTTAGTAAAATATACCAAAAAATATAATATATATAATAAATATACTGATACAGCAGCCCACGATATCGAAATTGTATCATCACATTAAGCGATGTATATAGATATTTCAATATTTTTGCACACCCATAATTACGATATGGTAAATATGTGAACACACACAAGTTATTTTATTTTAGAAAGGACTTCTTACCTTGCGACTGACCAAACTCATGTCTGTGACCTCTGGCGATCTGCATGGCGAGTGCTACAACAATGACAATAGTGCAGGGCAGCCCAGTCCTCCACGCCGTCTCCATGGTTACTGCAGAGGTCGCTATAGTAACAGAACTCAGTGCAGTGGTCCCGGCGCCTCTGTCCCAACATGTCTCCTGTCCTCTGGGATGTCTCCTACCAGAGGGACGCGCTGTGGAGCTCCATCTCCGCGGGAGGGTTAATGTTCACACAGACATGGCAACCTCAAATGAGTCTGTGCTGGAGAAGAGTAGGGTCCCTCTGCTGCTGCTGTCCTCCCTCTGTGTCCTGTGAAGAGAGAGAGAGGGAGAGGGAGGGAAGAGAAAGGGAGAGGAGAGGAGGAGAGAGATGGAGAGAGAGATTATATGGATTTATCAACACATTAAACAAGAAAACAAGACTGAATAATAGAGATTATGGGTGGGCGATAACTCGATATTTTAAATATATCGAGATATTTTTTAAACTCGATATGGATTCTGACATATTGTACATACAGAAGCTGAACCGCACAAGCAGCACAATTTATGCAAATTAGCCATTTAAGTTTTGTTTTGTAAACGTAAACACATGTGCGCAAAGCTGCATTAAACACATTATAATCTCAAATGGGCTGATGTGGCTCTATAGCCTTTATGCTTTATATGTTGTAAAGTTTAGTAATGTAAAGTTTATTTATGTAGAAGATTTTAATGAATAATCTGCTGCAGTGTAACTTGTACAATAGTGTTTGGAAACGTTGGGTTTGATCTGCAGTGGATGGTGGAATACCTCAGAGCTCCTTACGCCGGTGAGGAACATGAATCTGTTAAAATAAGGAACCTCCCGAGCTTCCTCTGCTAAAGGAGCTCATGGTTATTGTATGGATAACAGAGTTAATGCAAAGAGGAGCTTGAGTTGAGTTGTTTTATTTATGAATGAAAAGAAGGCAATATGTATTATTTCTTTTATTTTACACTTAAATTATTATTTATGTAATTAGGAATTTTTTGTAATCTTAAATGTGGCAGAAGAACTGACTACCTCTTGCACTTCAATAAAAAAATACCTTGTGGAATTTGGCAGATTTGTTTTTGCAGGAGTTTTGGGGGGTTATTTTTCCTGTACACATATCGAGATATATATTGTATATCGAGATATAGCAAAATATATCCAAATATATTTTTTGCTCCATATCGCCCAGTCCTAATGGAGAAATTTGCACTTTTTAGGGTACTGGCCTAAATGTGCATGAAAAATATCTGTCAAAAGCTTTATTTGAACACTTCTCCACACAGTACTGCAAAGTCTGTAATAAAACAAGGTTGTGGATGAGTTTGTACTGAATTCTACTCAGATAATTTGAGAAAAATGATCAAAATCGGCCCTACCTTCCACCTTGTGATGTAATGTGGCAAAACAGGAAGTGCTCCATACACCTTCACTAGAATCATTTGGATAATTTCATCCCTGGACAAAACATTAATGTGGCTGTTAACTTAAAACTACCTTTACATGACATCACAGGGTGGAGCAGAGCATTTTTAGCTTTGGAGATGTAGACAGACTAAAAATAAAGACTTTCTCAAACATGTGAGTGAAACAAAACACAACTCTGGGTCTGCAAGAGTCAATTTTGCGTAATATAGGACCTTTAAAGAAGTTTCATATTTTCTTCCCAAACAAGGATGGTAGCCTCATTTGCTTGATTGTTCAGTCCCTGCATTCAAACAGAAAGAGAGAGGCCAAGTCTATTTAAACTTCCCATAGTCTAGACTAGAGCAAACCTTCTCATTCAGACACTTTCGCCAGGCCTTCATCTTTCACTCTGATGCCCACGGACAAGAGCTGTTCCTGGGTCGGCCCCCTCCCAGAGCCCCCCTGGAGCTGCACGCACCAAAACCACTTCAAACACAAAGAAAGCCGTTGATCTGGTACAGAGCTACACTTTAAGCCCAAACCAAAGACCAAGAGTGGATATTATGTCACAGACTACAGGGGTAAAATGGGCCAAATTAAGGAACCAGCAGGTCGCCATTAGAGTTGAATACATTGAAAAAAATATATACCGGTACAGTTGTTAGGATTTTTCTGATAAACTTTGTGATTAGAATTATAACTTATATTTTAATACTAGGATTCTGTTCAAAGTTCACATTTTAAACGTGTTCAGAAGAATCGACAAAAAGACTGAAATATGCACTGGCAAACTGGAAAAAGCCTGGATTTCAGATGATATCACAACATTCTATTGTCCAGTTTTATTTAATACAGATGGGGGAAGTTAAAATTAATATTGTTCAACTGCAGATTTCAGTTGTAATATAGCAAGTCTTGGGTCTAGTCGATAATAAAAATGATCAGGTTCCATATTTGGGAATTTACCTTTCAGCTATTTCATGGCAAAGTACAATGTAATTAATAGGAAAAATGGCTATTATTGGCTAGACTATTGAGGGGGGGGTTGCAAAATAAAATAAGATATATATTAGGGAGCATCATTTGAGCAACTTTTTGAAAAAATTTTTACCTAGTATCAATTTTTTACACTTGCCAAAGCAAACTTCTAGGAGAAATTTCATGAAATTCTATTAGTGTCTACTGGGTCAACCAAGCCTCTGAAAGTTTAGTGCCTGCAGAAGCCTTAAATTTGAGCTCAAAAATCTGTTCTTCTTTAATAAAATCAAAAATTATAAATTTAGCCCTATAGAATCAATGGCAGTTGAATATAAATATGGACATCGCGTATCATTTGGTAGTTTTATGCCTTTATCATCATTAGTTTCTGAGATATGGCAAAATTCTGCAATAAATTAAGCAATAGGTCCTGAATTGTAACAAATATAGGACCTAGCACAAATTGAAATGAACAAATTTAGAACTCAAAGACATGAAACTGTGAAAATATTTTTTTTTTAATACAGGTATTATTATATTATGCCTGTCCGTTATGTAGACTATAACCTACTTGTCAAAGCAAAGTAATTATTTAACAAATCTTAACAGATAAGCATTCATCACACTCAGTGGTGCAGTGGGGATTTTTTAAGTGGGTGTAAAACTGGGTACAATACAAGCTGAATTTCTGACATTGGGGCAAATGATGCACCCTGATGACAATGATGTTTGTTTGTTTTTTTTTCCAGAAAATTATGGTAGGGCTACAAGATTGATTACAACTAAACCGAAATCACAATTTGAATGGAGGCAGTTAGCAAATCGCAAAGACTGCAATTTCTGAAGTATCATAGTTTCCTCCACAAAAATACTAAAAGTAATTTAAGCTACTTGCACATCGAACAGCAGATTTAAACCACAAAAACTATTCTAATGCAATGAATAAACCGTAGCGGCTCCTTGACCAACCTAATTGCCGTTCGGGAAGATCAGAATGAGTCCCGGGGTTGTAGTTTTGTGACGCTATTGTAAACAAATACGCTGGGATCTCGAATGCATTTTAGATATTTATTACCAGACATACATCTATCACAGCACAGCAAAGAAGGTGAATGGAACAGTTGGAAAATAAAGGGTGAGTATAGAGGAATAGTGGTGGCCAACAAAAGTTACAGCTATCCAGCCCTGACCTTCAACCAAAACTGGGTAACAGGTAAACACACCCTTCCATGGACACACATGTACACACACCTGCCCACGTGAGTCCCGCCCTCTCTGCACCAGAGCAACAACACACCCACACCCTCAACCACACACCAGTGCACCAGTCCTGACTCCAACACATAAACACTAGAATAAAACACATTCAATACTTCAACCTTCTACAGCTAAAAATCTCATCAAAAAGCCAAAAAATAACCAAACATTAAATGAACTGAAGCCTGTTTGAACACAGACAATGGGAGCAGTGGAGACAGCTGCTTCAGTTTGTCCTTCAAAGACATAAACAGACACTTGGCAGCTCCAATTTTATAAGTGATAATGTGACGATGGAAAGAGATTAGGACAAAATTATCATTTCATCAACCACTTTTCGTTCTGTTAATTTGTCTGGGCTAAAATTAAGATCACATTTGAAGTGAGCGCTCCAGCAAGTTTGCCCCTACAGTATTGTGGTTTCAGTAGGTGTAAGGTTGGGTTATAAGAAAATCATTTTAGTAGGGATGCTCCAATACAGCCTTTTCAGTTCCAGTACTGATAGTCTGTCTTAAATCAGCTATAATATGGCTTTAATTACTTGCTGATTACCAATATCAACCGATAAAAGTGCAGAGATTGAAAACAGCATTTATTTCCTGAAAGCAAAAATAAAATTAAGACAAAACTGATCCAAATGTGTTATGTAACTGTTATTTACTCCCCAAAGTAACTACAGAACAGCTTTGTGTAAATACAAGTTCAAACATTATGAGACTTTCTGGGCCAAATATGACTGGTAAATAGTCATATGATTTCAATTCATCTGTCCAAACGATATTTGGAGGTCGATATCTGATCAAGCAAAAATGTCAGTACTAGCCCCCTCTTAACTCGCTTTTTGTTTAAAGGTACATTGTGTAACTTTTCTGGTGGAGAGTCTGTCACCTGCTCGTTTCAATGAATATGTCATTAATCTACCTTGCATTTAATAAATTACAGGTGGTTTTAGAGCTCAAAAATACCTAGAAACACAGACTAGTGGTGTGCAAAATATTGAAATATCCATATATCATATCATTTAATGTGATGATACAATATCAATACCGTGGGCTGCTGTATTAATATATCTCGAAGAGTATTTTTTGGTATATTTTACTTAATAATTTTGTAACAGCGCTACAGTTTTGTTGCTTGTTCAGAGTAAGGAAACTATTTTATGCAACACATTTGACATTTTCACTGATTTGATGAGTAAAATGTTTGTGTTTCATATTCATTTTTCACAAGAAGTGGTTTAACAAAGACTTTTAGTCATGATTTAGCCTTTATTTTTATTAAACCGTATCGAATCGATTTGAAATATATCATATTGAATCAAAAGCTCCCTGTATCGAGATTTGTATCGTGTAGTGGCCAACATATTGAGGTAGGTATTGTATCGGCAACTTCTTAATGAATATCCAGCCCTAATTCTAACTGTGAGTGGGGT